AAATCGCGTCTGCCTAACGCAGGTGCCAAACTGGACGCTAAAATCCACTTTTTAAAAAGATCAAGGGTAACGAGGTTCACCTCCAATCAGTTAGAAATTCCCCGAAACAATTCAAGCTCACCCTGTCAAACCATAAGGCTTTTGGCAAATGGAAACCTTAAATAACACCAACGTTGCTTTCAGTGTTAGAAAACACTTCGTTTAGGTGACGAAATCCCCTAACAACGAAGTACTGAAAGCAGCGTAGGAGCTGCCAAAACCACAACGGTTGCCAAAGCGCTGATTTTTTCCGGGAACATGTTAAATCTCCAGGGTGTCCCTCCCGGTGCTGTGTCCCTCCAGGGGGACCCCAAAGCCCCCCCCCCTCCCCTTCCCGGCGTGGGGCCAGAGCGTCCTTAAGAGGCTGCGGTGTGGTGTGAGGAGCCGCTTCCAATTGCGAGGCAGGCAGCACATGACATAAGATGCTCCAGATCTGCCTCCTGGGCGCTAGTTTAAAAATAAAGGATATTACACATCGTCCTCCTCCTCCTCCTCCTCCTGCTCGGCGCTGGTGCGGAGCGGCTGCACAAAGGCGATGCGCTGTACGGCAGGACCCGGAGCCCGGCGGTGACGGGGTTGGGGGGGTGTGTGTGGGGGTCAGAGCCGAGTGGGGCTGTTTGGGGCAAAGGGAGTGTGAAATATAAATTGTGAGGCTCGCAGAGCTCTTGCCAAGCTGTGGTTGTCACGCTCCTTTTCGGATACAGGGATGGATGTATTGTCCACCTCCGATGGGGTTTTGCGAATGAACGGAGCGTGATGCGGAGGGCGCTGCGTCCGTTGTGAGAATTTACCGTGTTTCACGCAAATACAGCAGTCTCGAGTCACGCCTGCTTTGGGGTTGCCTTGGTCAGACAGCTGCACCACTGGAAGCTGAGCCCATCCCACTGGATGTGATGGTGCCAGCGATGTCACACGATTTCGAGTGTTTGATTGTATTTTAATTTTTAAAACCTGTTTTCACAGGGACAATGCTGTGTGAGTCAGACGCACGTATGGCACTTGCGGAACCAGTCCCTACGGCTTATTTTAATTCGGATCCTCAAGGGAACTGTGAGGCGTCACTGGATGATGTGCGGCTCAACTCTTCAACTAGGTTTGTGTCATTTTATTTTCTCTGTGGTGAGTTTTATACGTAGGATATAGTTTGTATTCTGTCATGTTTACTTAGATTAATTAAGGTGGGTTTTTGGAAGAAATTTCAAACGTTTGTTACTCCTTCCGAAATCCAAAAGACGAATCTGCAATCTCACCCTATCGAAGGAAGAGGAGCAGAATTAGATTTGCTGTACCCAACTGCCACACAGAGTACAGAGCCTGAAGCAGTGTGCATTGAATGTAAACTTAAAGCCCAGGAATGGTAGGATACTCTGTGTAGTCAGAAAGATTACCTCTTATAAAAGAACTCTAAGTAATTGTTAACGTATTTAATTGGGAGGGCACTGATTAAACACTGAGAATAGTCCTGTGTAGTTTGTGCAGTGTTGCTGTGCTGGAAGCAGAGGCGTGCCGCTGCAGAGCACGGTCTGTGCAGGACCTGTGCTGATTTTTATCAAACTCTGTGTTCAGTCTGAGCAGCCTCTTCCTAAAGAGCTGGTCCATAGTTGAAGGTCTGTATTTCACCACACTGCAGTGAGACACAGCTGACAAAAAAACTCTTTACCTAATTTTTTTTCCAGGCTGCATTTGAATTACATGTAGTAAGGGGGAAGGAAAAGCTGACTTGAGTCACTGGCAGGGAAATAGCTGGGGCTTTTTTGCTGATATTACTGGGTCATTTGCATGCTTTGATCATAAAAGCTGGTGGAGAAATGGTGCGGAACTATTGCAACTGAGGATTAATTTGTGCTGAAAAATGCTCTCAATAATGAGGAGGAAACGCGTAGTAGGGAACATCTCGTAATCCCTTTGGGGGAAATAAAGAAAAAGAAAAATTTGATTTACTTCCCTCTGGTTTCTGGCTTGGTTTACTTCCCTCTGGTTTCTGGCTTGCAGATTAAATGGGAGAAGCAGTTTTGCTTTTGGGCAGTGTGTGGGACAGCCATGTCAAATCTTCTCTGTCTTAAATCTTACGGGGTGCCCAAAGCCATAATAGTTGACTGTCCCCTAGAGATTCAGGGAACATGTAAACCAGAGGGAAGCGCTTTACCCCTTACACTGAAATTCACACTGCCGCACGCTGGCTTGGCTTCTCCTTGGTCTAGTAGAGAGGACGGAAGATGTGGGGCTCGCGGGGGACCCTGCCTGGATTGGGCTGGAACCAGAGGAGCTCCTGCTCACCTGCAGGTGGGCTCCGATTGTGACAGGCAGAGACATTGGGGTTTCTTTTTGCCCCAAAGCTGCCCCCCTGTGGGGTTGAGGCTGTTGTGATGTCGGGGGATGCTCAGCCCTTCTAGAAGACCCAGTACTAGAGAGGAACAGTGCACTAAACATTGCCATGGGGAAGGGTAAACACTGAGCGCTGGCATGAAGGAACCAACACCTTGGTGATGGCCTGGAGCCAGGGGCCACGGGAGGGCTGTTTGGCAAGGCAAGATGGACGTTTTGGCTCCCTGGAATATAATTTTGGGTGGACTAAACCTTGGACCTTAGTGCTACGCTGATGGTACAAGAAGGGTGTTGGCCGGGGTAGGGGAACAAGCATCACCCACCTGTAGGTTGGCAGGTGGGATGTCCCTGGGGAGCAGAGCACGGGGACGCGAATACCGAATCTCACAGGGTTTGGCTTCCAACTTGTGGTCTGAAGTGGGACATGCGACTTGATTATTCCTTATCCTCAGCACTTACGGCTCTGAGAGTCCCTCTTGGAAGGGGACGGAGGAAGAACACTGCTGTGCACATGCGGGCAGGTGCTGTCTCACCAGATCTTGCAAGGCTGAAAGCAAAAGGGGCAACTTTCAGCGGGCACCGCAGGAGAAGTGGCTGAAGCAGATGGGCGATGTGCCCGTTTCCATTTCTTCACAAACATCTGGCGGGAGTCTGATGCACTGACTTTATTAGGAATAGCTAAGAACAAATTTCCTGTTAAATCAGTTTCCTGCTGGTCAGCTGGCCGGGCCTTCTGCAGGAAACCTGGGTGGGTTCCCCGGCGGGGTGACCAGCCGGGGGGTTCGCTGGCCGCCTTCCTCCCTTCCGTAGCCTCCTGCGCTGCGGGCAGGAGATAAGCACCAGGTCCACGTGCCCCTTCCTGCGCCTCTCCTCCTCGCTGCTGTAGGCTTGTTGTTTCAGGCATCTCGAGCAGAATTCTGGTATTAAATTATCGCTGCTGCCGCGTTTATGGATTCTTCTGCAGCTTATCTGAAACTGTAGCTACAATCAGGACAACACACACGTGTTTAAAAGCTGTGCAGGCAAAGCTTGGGTGCTCTCTGAGAGGGACCCATTTCATTGCCATAGCCATGCAGGCTAGTAAAATTAATAAAGTCACCTGCAGAACATCAGCAACCACTAATCCTTGCTGACATCCAAGGACTGATGTAATTAAGTGATGGAGCAAGCACGCCTAAGGCGTTCTTCAGCCCGTGTGCCTGTCCAGGACTAATTGCTTTTGCCTTGCAGAACTGTTGAGGTCCCCAACATTGAGACAGTTGAAGACACGAAGACAGAGGGATGTCGGATAGACACGTGTGGTTTCAAAGGTAAGTGGAAAGAATTTTTAGTTACCGTGGTGCGCATAAAATTATTACTGAAATGAGAGAGGAATTTATCAAACCGTAACAATGAAGAAGAAACTCAAATTGCAGGATGATCTGTCCAGAAAGCTCTCAGATTTCAACTTTAAAGCACAGGTATGCTTCAGGGAGTAAAATAGGTAGTGTCGCTGCCCAATGCTGATCTCCCAGGTAATAGTGGATGACTCAGTCCTCCTTAAAAGAAAAAAAAGAAAAGCACGGTGTAGGATTGTTGCAGGGAGGTGCCACCTCACCCATACAAGAGCTTTAGGGCAGCAAAGCGGGTTAGAGGGGGATGTAAATGGGAAATGTTTAACAAAATTTTGAAGGTGCTTTAGAAGCTTCATCTGTTAGTCCTGGTCTGAGACACCAGGAGTCGTGTGGCAAACTTGCCAAGAATAAAAGGTGAAAAAAGGGGAGGTGGGAGGGAGTCCAACAGCATTTGCTTGCGTATGTTTGATACTTGTGTTTATATTTCTGTTACGGCAGCAGCAGTTTCTATATGTAAGATGCTGAACACTTTTCTTTCAAACCAGCCTCTTCGCCTCCTGCCTCCAGTGTGTGGACAACACGACGGGACGGCGAGGTCAGGCTGAGGATGGATGAGCGGGGCATAGGCAGCGAGGCACCGAAGACTGTTCATGAGCTGTTCCGGGAAGCTGCTAATAAATATGGAGATTATTATGCCCTTGCATCCAAAAAGGGTGGCCAGTGGATAAAACTAACATACAAGATGTACTATGATGAGTGCTGGAAAGCAGCCAAAAGCTTTCTGAAGGTAAGCTCTTGTTGAATTCTCCTCGTTCACGTTCGGTCGGTTTAACTGCTGAAATGGCTGTAGTCAACCAGGTCTGAGACCTGCAAGTTCTGTGAGTGTAGGGGAGTCCTAAAGGGACAGGGAAATACCTGACCGTGCCCTGAACAGCTCGGTAATACCCGCAGTGCTTTTGTTTGAATTTCTCGCAAGTTGCTCCCATGTGCAACTTTAAAAAAAAAAAGTGCATGAGGAACCATTGAAAGCGAGGTGTTCAGGTACGTGGCAAACCCAGACAATGCCCCTCGTGAGGCATGTAAGTTTTAATCATTCCAAGAAAAAAGCTTGAAGGGATGCTTGTGAACCAGACTTGAGCATCCAAACTGGCTGAGCCTTTTGCCTGGACTGTTGGGAGTTAAGACACTCGGAGATAGAAACCAACATCACGTGTACTTACTGTTATCATTATAAGAGAGTTGGGGGGTTCAGCCTGGAGAAGAGAAGGTGAAAAAGGGGAGACCTCAGAGCCCCTTCCAGTGCCTAAAGGGGCTCCAGGAGAGCTGGGGAGGGACTCCTGATCAGGGAGGGGAGACCTAGGATGAGGTGTGATGGTTTTACACTGAAAGAGGGGAGATTTAGATGAGATATCAAGAAGAAATTCTCTCCTGTGTGGGTGGTGAGCCCCGGGGGCAGGTTGCCCCGAGAAGCGGTGGCTGCCCCATCCCTGGAGGGGTTCAAGGCCAGGTTGGACGGGGCTTGGAGCAACCTGGGCTGGGGGGAGGTGTCCCTGCCCAGGGCAGGGGGGGGGATGAACTTTAAAGTCCCTTCCAACCCAAACCGTTCTATGATTCTATGAATTCTTCTTTCTTGAAGTTAAGGCCACTCTCTCTTTACTCCAATGGTGGGATCTTCCAGTGGATGTACTTCCACTCTCTGGGGCAAAACCAGAGAATGGCTGAAGGAGATTTAAAGACTGCGACTTCAATAGCTGCAATTTCATAGCAAAGTGCCTCCAACTGTCACCAGAGCTCGTTGCTCTTGTCGTTATCGATATCTGCCATACCGAAGCTGTACTAAATGACTAAATGTCTCAGTAGGTGGTGTCTAACTTAACCTCTTACCTTCTCCTTCCCAGCCCAAAGGGAACTGATAACCACCTGGATTCCGGTTTTATAATCCCGTTAGCGTCAGTGATGTCGTCATACTGAGTGCAGACTGAAGCAAATTCTTTTTTTCCTGCCTACTGATAAAGTGGGACAGTGTCTGATCTCAAACTTCACTGGTTCTGTATGAGGTCTTGGGAAATTTTTCAGTGTGAATTACCGTATGTAATAGCATGAACTTTTCCCTTGACGTCGTGCTCACAGCAGAGATCTGTAAATTAACTCAAGGCATTCTTCAAAGGAAAACTAAGGTTGCTGTAATCTCATCTCTTGTTTACAGCTGGGACTAGAGCGTTTCCATGGAGTGTGCATCTTGGGATTTAATTCTGCAGAGTGGTTTATTGCTGACATTGGCGCTATCCTTGCAGGGTAAGAATGAGTGGTGTCTCTTGACACGCATTTTGCTTTAGCATTCAGATACTAATTTCAGTATTCGTGCAAGAAGCAGTTTTTAATTAAAAAAACCCCAACAAAATAAACCACAAAAAAAACCCAAAACAAACCCAACTGCTTATATTTGAATTTAATTAAGATAGTTAGAACCTAAACTATCTCTTTACTTCATTATGAATTAATGAGACAAAAAAATATAATTTTTTTTTTTTTTGCCAGGTGCTTCTCTCAATAAAATGAGCAGTAGGTTAATCCAAAAGCATGTTTACTTACACTGTGATTAAAAAATGTGATGGGAAATGCCAGAGAATCCCAGCACTGGATTTTTTAGCCTTCTTCCACCCGAGACATTTTGTCTTCTTAAACCATTCTGAGACTTCCCACACCCAGAACAGAGCCTTTGCTATTGGAATTAAGCCCACCACTTTTCGTTGTTGTTTTATGGGATATTCTTCCTAAAGTTTTTCCTCTGTTAAGAGTTTGAAATGGTCTGACTTTCGCCAGCAGCTCTGCGTATCCTCTAATTCTGTGTTTTTCTTTTCTGTTTTGTTTTTTTCCTTTTCTTTTGTAGTGGATTTGCTGTTGGTATCTACACTACAAACTCTCCTGAGGCCTGTCATTATGTAGCAGAGAACTGTAGCGCTAACGTGGTGGTTGTGGAAAACCATAAACAGCTGCAGAAAATCCTAGAAGTAAATACACTTTTTTAAAGTGGGGGGCTACAGCATCCTGTTGCAGATGTGTGTGGGGGGGAAATGCTGTGGAGGGTAATGCTGGATCTAAAATTAGAGGTGAGAGGAGAGGGGAGATTTAGATGAGATCTGAGGAAGAAATTCTTTGCTGTGCGGGTGGTGAGCCCCTGGGGCAGGTTGCCCCGAGAAGCTGTGGCTGCCCCATCCCTGGAGGTGTTCAAGGCCAGGTTGGACGGGGCTTGGAGCAACCTGGGCTGGGGGGAGGTGTCCCTGCCCAGGGCAGGGGGGTGGGACTGGATGGTCTTCAAGGTCCCTTCCAACCCAAACCAGTCTGTGATTCCATGGTACTTGGTGTGTTCCCTGTTCAAGGCAGATGAGTAGTCACTAGTGCTAAATCTCATGAAAAAAACAGAGGTTAAACAGTGGTTCCACAGTTTGGCAAAGCCTCGAGCTTAAAATATGAGAAGCCCAACCGAACAACTGCTCATCCCTTAGGTTGTTTGGCAGCATCCCAGTCCAAATGATTACTTTCTCCAGTGAGGCTTCCCTGGTCTCTTTCATTAAAGCAGATGAGATTCTCTTTGCTTTCCGTAAAATGGCAAGTAGCAGTAGCACAATAAGTGGTGGGTTACTGAGGTTTAAAAGGGACAAGTGGGATTTGCTTCTTCTCATGAATCTCCCTTCTTATAACAGATTCAGCATAAACTACCTCATCTGAAAGCAATTATCCAGTATGGGGAAGAGCTAAAAGAGAAGAGGCCAAATCTGTACTCTGTAAGTACTGTGCATCTTAATGGCTTGTGAATACTGGCAGCGTTTAGCCCATGGCTTGTGAGCAACCATCACCTTGCCCAGGAGTGTTGTCATGTCAGCTTGTGTTGGTTTCGGGGAGGGATCGCTTGCCTCGCTGCAGCGGTAGGTGTCTATTGTTGCTCCAACCTCAGTAATCCACGTTGTAAGGGAGGGTGTTAGTGCGCAGACCTCTGCAAAGCAGCCGCGGGTCCCACCGTTACTCCAGTTTCACCCAGTGAACACCAGGGTTGCTACAGAGCTAGTAAGCTTCCACAGCGTGGATTCATCTTTTCTACTTCTCACCATGCCTCTTGTGGCAGCCAGAAAACATTGTGGGGCTGACAGTGCATCTTTACAACCTCTCCCAGATTCTGCCAGGGGTTTGGACGTAGGAAACAGTTACCTTCTCTTCATGTGTAGCAAAGGGTTTAATTTTGCGTGGGAATGACAACCTACAAAGTGGTCAGCTCTTCTCTCTTACATACAGTGGAGCGAATTCATGGACCTTGGCAAAGACGTTCCAGATGCTCAGCTCCGTGAAATCATTGAGTCGCAGAAGCCTAACCAGTGCTGTACACTAATATATACCTCGGGGACAACTGGACAGCCAAAGGGAGTGATGCTCAGTCATGACAACGTCAGTATCTTTTTGTATAAATGCCCATTCTGTGACCTTTGGTGGGTGCTGAGGGAAGGCAGAAGCTGAAGAACATGCCTGATGTTAAGATCACAGGAAGTTGTAGAATTGTTTTGGGAGCTGCGTGTTCTGTGTTGTACCTGCTCAGAAGAGCTGGCGCTTAATCCTGATGTGGGCTCTTGTTACAGCTGACGTGGACGGCGGCAGCGGCAGGGCGTTTCATAATGCTGACGGATGCTACAGAGAAGCAGGAACTGGTGGTCAGCTATCTGCCCCTCAGCCACATCGCTGCACAGATGTCAGATATTTGGTCGGCAATGACATTCGGCGTACAAGTTTTCTTCGCTCAGCCAGATGCGTTAAAGGTAAAACCATAAGAGAATAAAAATTCTGCGCCCAGCCTCCTGCTTGTAGCTGGGTGGGTGCTTTAAAACAAGGGTGGCTGACTTATCTCGTGACTCCGAGCGCTGTGCTAACTTGGGTTGTTTGCGTAGTGACCGACTGCTCCTGTTTAAGGGTCTGTTGGTTTGAGGAGCGTAGCCACTCTGCCCTTTGCCTTTTGCCTCTGCGTTGCAAGCTAGGATGAGCTGACCAAGCACTTCACAACTGGAGCTTCTTGGTGTCTCACCTGCCACCAGTTCTCTGCCCCGACAGCTTGGTTGAGCAACACCTTTGTATTTACTCTGTCCACATTGCAAAATGCCACCAGTGTTAAATCTGTGTCCTGAGAATGATTCTTCTCTTGGCGCTGTGTCAGCGTTGGCACTGAAAGCATCGACCCCTCCTGTCTTCTCAAAACCACTGTGGCATTTGCACGCTCCTGGGGTTCCTTTCTGGTGGTGGCACTGCACTTGAAAATGGGCAATTCCTCAAAATCGATGGCCGAGTCCTCACGCTCAGCTGACCGGTGACCAGTGCTGACCTGGTCTATAGCGAAGCACTTTTGAACGCTGTATTAAATTCTGCTTCGCTCAGGGCACCTTGGTGGACACCCTGCGGGAAGTGAGGCCAACTGCTTTTTTGGGAGTTCCTCGCGTCTGGGAAAAAATGGAAGAAAAAATGAAATCCATAGGCGCAAAATCATCAGCGCTCAGAAGAAAAGTTGCATCGTGGGCCAAGGGAGTCGGTTTGCAGACAAACCTGAAGCGGATGAACAGGTAATTATGAACGACACTTAAAGGATGTTGAGAATATTAGGAGAACTTTACTATCCCATCGGGAGTTATATCCTGTGTAACAGGCCAGGCTTATGGACAGTAAAAGCCAAACAGTGCGGTTGGACCGAGGGTGAGCAGCAAGGGTGGAGGGGGAAGTAATTTATTTCATACTGAATAAACTAAAATAGGAGGAAGATGAGAGGAGGAAGGGGGAGAAGTTCTACTTGCTGCCTGAGATGTTGTAACCATTTGTCTCCTACAGGTATTCTGAAGTCCCGGTGAATTTCCGCTTAGCCAGGCACTTGGTGTACAAGAAAGTGCGAAAGGCCATTGGGCTGGACCGGTGCACCAAGTGCTACACGGGGGCTGCTCCCATTACCAGAGAGACGCTGGAATTTTTTTTAAGTCTCAACATCCCTGTGTTGGAGCTGTACGGCATGAGCGAGAGCTCGGGGCCTCACACGATCTCTCTACCTCACGCATTCAAGCTTACCAGGTAAATACCTTTCTGTGAGTAGAGCACTGCTGGCTGGGAGGAAGAGCTGCTTTAAGGTTTTTCCTGCATCTGGTGCTTCCACCTCACCTGATGCAATTCATCCTGGGTCTTGCTGCCTGTAAGAAGTCACTAGGGAGCCAGTTCCTTTGGCCACATGGTGCAGATTAAGAGATCTGCTAATGACAACAGCTGTGTTACTTAACTTGGCCTGGATTCTCTAGAACCTGAGGAGGAAGCAAAGGATTCATGGGAAGGAGGAAGAAGTGGTAACTCTAGCCTACAGTTCACTTCAACGTTAAATTAAGAAATGCAGTAAGACTTTGCTCTTGCTTTGAATGGCTTGTTTGGTCCCCATGGGTTTGGTCTGCAGAGTAAATACCACCATCAGTAGAAGCTTGCTGCCAAGGACATAAATCTTCTCATTCAGAGCTCAGGTGTCTGAGAACAATGGGTGGAAAGCACCAGGTGTGCGAGCACTCATCTCTCTGCAGTACCAACTTTTTCTGTAGTTCCCCTTACATAAGCAGATGCTTTTTAAGTCTAGAAGTTCCTTGCTGAAGCAGTTGTAATAAGAAGCTGCCTGGCTTTGTTCGGACACTTTAGCTTGAGAGGGAACCGCTATAATCTCACTCTGCTGCTCAGCTATTGATTTTTATTTTTTAAATGCTATGGGTTTGGGTTTGTGTTCCCTTTAAGCTGTGGAAAGGAAGTCACGGGCTGCCGGACGCTGATTCATAAGCCAGATGGAGATGGCAACGGAGAGATTTGCTTCTCGGGCAGACACATCTTCATGGGCTATTTGAACATGGAAGAAAAAACCAAAGAGGCGATTGATGAAGACGGCTGGCTGCACTCAGGGGACCTTGGCAAGCACGATAAGGATGGATTCCTCTACATCACTGGCAGAATTAAAGGTAATGCATCCCCTGACTTTGCTGTCTTGAGGTTACGCAGTACTATGATGGATGCGTTCAGATCCTGCTAGTTAAGTGGCTGTGGCTCACACAGAAGCATATTCCAATACTTCTTCTGAAGTCTCCAATGTGAATATGGCTGCAGTGTGTGCTGTCACTGCGCATGTGACATGGGGTGTGACAGGAGGAGAGGATGACCTCTGAAACCGCTGTGTGTGTTTGCAGAGCAAGGGAGAAATCCTCTGATTTCAGAAGCAGTAGTTAATGCTTTGATGACTTGTTTTTCAGTGCCGGACCTGTCCGGGTCCCTCCAGTTCCCGCCGGCTTTGCCAGCTTGGCCTCAAAGAGAAAACAACAGCTTAAGGCTGTTGTGACAGTGGATTGTAGCAGGGCAGTTCTTGGTACACTGCTTTGACCAACCCCAAACAAATTCTATTTCATGCAAGATTTCAATCAGCGAGAAATGGTCACACAAAGGGGCTGCTTTGAGAAACCTTTAAGACAGTCAAGAAAGGCAGGTTGGCCTCAGCTCTGTATCGCACTGTGTAACTTCACAATCTCTGCTTTGCCTCAGCAAATTTTTTTACTTTAGTTTCTGAACGACTTGGGTACCAACTCACATGCCTTGGAGTTGATGGTGGCAGGGTGCTAAGGCGCTTGTACGCCACACCCCACGTTCCCAAACTGCAAACATCTCCGGGGCATTAAAGCAGCTTTTGCAAGGTTGTGTGTGCACACCACGGTCTCACCTCTCCCAGCCTGACTGGAGTCCTTCTGGCTTGCTGCCTTCTCCAGATGTTGGGACAGACTCTGGCAGACACAAAGGAGCTATACAGTTATTTCATATTGTGAAGGAAGGGGGGGAAAAGCTCTAAGCATTAATCAAGACTTGACTGTTTTCCAGAGCTCATCATCACTGCAGGAGGTGAGAATGTTCCTCCCGTTCCCATTGAGGATGCTGTAAAAGACGCTGTTCCCATCATCAGCAATGCAATGTTGGTTGGAGACAAAGCAAAATTCCTTGCTATGCTTCTGACGCTAAAGGTAATGGAAAACAGGATGAGAATCCACCTGTGCTGCTAAATGTTTAATTCCAGTGAGGAAGAGAATTGTTACACATTTTTACACAGTGTTCTAGAGACAGGAGGCGTTGTGGAGTGGTGCCTTGTAGCTGAGTTGCAAACAGCAGCTGTAACTCTACAGAAAAATGAGTGTTGCCACTCAAGGAGATGATCAGGTTCCTCTGTTCGGGGCGGCTGTTCCCCTCTGTACCCCACAGGGCAGAAAGAAACAGAAGTAAATGACCTAAAAGTGAGACTGAAAAGAGAAACCTTTCTGCTTTTCTTAACCATTTTTAGTATCTCCCAGAGCAGTCTGGACAGTCGGGAGCTGTCAGTGATTTCTTTTTAAGACACTGGTTTTAAATTCCAAAGTGACACATCTGTGGTGGCCTGTACTGATTTCTGTCTCCAGACCCTGCAGGCTGGTGGTTTTTCAGGACAGCGTTAATTGCTCATTAGTGAGAGTGACTGCCAACCTCCTCGCCCCTGTGCAAGAGGCACCGAGCCAGGCCCTGGAGGTGCTGCGCTTCTCTTGGTCAGGTGCCGCATGTGTCTGTTCCAGCAGACTCTTACGCTGCTGTGGGGCGCAGGGAGGTAAAGCTGTGGTCTGGAAAAAGGGTCCAGGAAAAATGTGCTCAAGCTGGGATAGCGCGGGAGGAATGCGGAAGGCTTCCCATGGCTGTGAGGCTCGTTAGCAGGATGGGAATGGAGTGGTTAGCAATACGAAGTTACCTGTTCCGACTTGTCTTGCAGTGCAACACAGACACAGAAACGGGTGAGCCAGGAGACGAACTCACCCCAGAAGCTGTTGAATACTGCCAGAAACTGGGCAGTAAAGCCACAAAAGTCTCCGAAATCATCAGCAGCAAAGACAAGGCCATCTACGCGGCTATCCAGAAGGGAATTTCAGCAGTCAACGAGGGAGCGGTATCGAATGCTCAGAAAGTCCAGAAATGGGTCCTTCTTGAGAAGGACTTTTCTCTCTTTGGTGGGGAGCTCGGTGAGTGGTGGTGGGGGTGTGTGGTGTCACCCTGTCACTCCTTCCTTGGCTGTTGGACAGACAACACAACCAGGACCCCCAATACACACCGCTTTCCTCACTGTGGCTTTTCCATGTCAGAGCTTTGGGGGAGAGGGGATGAATTCCTGATTGCGCCCGTCAGAACTGAGCTGGGCAGCGCTTACCCTTGGTTCTGTGGTGCCTGCTGCAGGATGGCCGTGCTCCTTCTGTTCACAGGGGACAGGAGGGAGGCTTGATTAATCACAAAGAGAAATTTAAAAGTCCATGTCCGTTCCTGCGTTCTGAGGCTCCCTGCGCGCTTACTTTGCTTTAATACTGATTTGTGTCTCCAGATGGTACCGTCACCATTAAAACCTCGTGCTGTGCGTTTCCACAGGCCCAACAATGAAGCTGAAGCGATCGGTGGTGGCGCAGAAGTACAAAGACCAAATCGCTCAGTTTTATGCGGATGCAGATACGGTGACCACAACGGAGAACGCTCTTCGGCAGTAGTGCGAAGGCTTTGTGTCGTGGATTGAAGCAGCCTGGAGGGCGACTCCCCCGCGGCTCCTGGGGAGGGATTCTCTGCGTCTGCTGAAATAAAGGCGACTCGGTAATCACGCAGCCCCTCTGAATCGCGTCACTGGACGTCCCTTGGCCCTCATACTGCAGTGTGTTGAGTGTGTTTGTGCTCAGTGTTTTCCTGTGGCTGTGTTCTAATGCTGAGATAGTCTTGAGTATCTCTGCTTTGTATATTTTGTCTTTCCATTTTTATAAGGGCGATGCAATGTTTACCTTAAATCCATATTACATGTTATGTTGTAACCAAAGTTTTCTTTTCTTGAGCTGAATGTAAAACAATCAGGAACTGCAAATTTCCTGCAGAGAAAGGCAGGTTTTGTTTTATAGCAATGTATGTTTAACTGCATGTTGATGACATCTGAATTATTTTAAGTCTCTTTACCCACAACTTGTCTTCTGTCAAAGATGAATGCTGAGATGATGGCTCAGCGTGTACGTGGAACCTCACCTTTGCTGGGTTTGTCTGTGCAATATTTTGAGTCTGTTTTATCTTTTTGAGTCATAATGAAGCCATAAGTTGTATTGTTAAATTAGCAGATGTGGCCAGTGTTCCGAGGAGTGTCTTACACAAAGGGAGAGGTGCCAAGGCTGTGTGCACATGTGTGTGAAATCCAGCTGTACTCTTTCGGTCCTAGAAATGCTGGCTCCAGCATCCCAAAAGGGGTGGACCTTCAGCAGGGTGGGGTGGGGTGAGGCCTTGTACCTGCGCTGGCAGAGAGGAGAGGGCACTGGGAACCCTGCTGGGTCCTTCAAAGGTCTGGGATCAACCCTTCCCGCAACTGTAGAGGCCCTTTACATTGAATGCAGGACACATGGGCTGGCCTTCTCCAGAGCACCCCTCGCCAGGAGCTCTCGAAGGTCTCCTCTAAATGGTTCTGCAAGGCTTAAGTCCAGTCTGTCCAGTGTCTGCAGGGGCTATTAAACCCAACAGCAAATGAAGGACTGCTGGTAAAATGGCTTATTTCGAACTAGAATCCACTGAGGGGAGTACAAGTGGTTCTGGGTAGCATTTCCCGTGGCCAAAGGAGGAGCCCCAGGAGCTGTCGGTGCTCTGAGGGGAAGCACGCTGCAGGGGAGAGGCACCTACACTGGTAAAGAACACAAACAGCTCAAGCAAGCTGCTGGCTGCGGGTCACAGCGCCTCTGTGCCTACAGCACTACTCAGTGTCGAAATCTCCCTGTGGTGGGTGTTAGCAGTACCCAGAACTGGGCACCTGGGGGGGGGTGGGGGTTTAAATCGCAGGTGTGCCTACAGCACCTGTACGGAGAGGTGGGCAACGCACTGTTGTAACCGCTGCTGAGCCCCTGCAGTCATTTGTGTTCTCAGCTGTATGGATTTGAAGTGTCTCCAGCTTTCAGAGGAATGCTAATAAATAAACTCGGCAGTTTGTGTGTCTCAATGCTTCGGTAATTTTTGCAAAATAACACTCTGCCTGGAGGTCAGGGTCCAAGGTGAGCAGCAAGAAGGTTAATTTGCCTTAACAGGCAAATTGCCAGAGCCGACTCCTTGGTCGTGATCAAGGGTGACGATACCCCTGCAGCACCTGCGTGTACAAAACACCGCAGCATGCGGAAGGGGATGAGGCTCCTGCCCTTAACCTTTGGCTGAGGAACGCCTGGGCCAGAGCGCCACCTCGCTCTTCGGGGCTTGTGATGAGCTCCAACACGCTTCTGGAGCGGTGGGTAACCCCTTCAAGGCCCGTTGGAAGTAGAGGGAGCGCTCGCACCTGCCTTGGGCAAACCTCTGCTCAGGCCTGCTCGCTCCACCTAGCGCTCGCGGCTCCTGCTGGCCAACTGCAGGGAGCCCAAACACCACCCTGCAGCAGCAACAGGATTTAAACAACCAACTTAAACTGCCAATGTATTAATAGGCAGCAGAGTCTTACCCCAGACTGTCTGTGCTTAAACCACGTTTCCTTTTCCTTTGCTTTCCATCTCCTGTGCCCCAGCGCGGTGCTGCCTGCAGAGCTGCCGCGCAGCCCACTGCGTCACTGGCTTCTGTATTTCTCATAGAAAACATTTTCAATAACAAGGCGCTTCAGGAAAACCTCGTTGCTGTCCGTGGAGAAGCAATACAACAACAAAAAAAACACTTGAAGTTTTACTTTTCCATCTTACTTTATTTCACTTTTTCTAGAAAATTCCTCCATAGTTCCACAAATTTAACAAAAAGTTTAAAATTCAGGACAAACAATCCTGTAACGTATTACAAACATGATTTTTTATTTTTTTTTTTTTAATCTTGAAGTTAAGTCTTGGGCCAGCTGAATTTCTTACAGCTGAGTGAAGAATTCATTTCCCAACACAACTTTTAAAATCCTCAAGTGACAAGGTATTTAATACCTCGGCTCTAGGCAGAAATACAATTAAAAATTATCTAGAAGTTGAAGTACTTACATTTTTCTTTAGGAGTGCAAACTCATCTTGTCAGTTTTTGATGGCTATTTCACGCCCCCGGGAAAAGCAATACCGATCGATTTTCGTTGTTTTAGAAGTAATACTCGTACAAGGTGCACAATGGTTGTCTACAGCATCGACACGAGCATGCCAACTAGTGAGTGCCAGGCACCGGGGCGAGTAGAGAGAAGCTTCGTCCGAGTACACCGCCTGTGCTCCAGTGCATCCGCCAACGTGACAGCTGAAATTTGCAGAACCAGAGTGACTCGGGTCTCTGCTTGCAGAGAACGTGACAGGCCAAGCTCCGTAAGGGAAGTTTATACCTCTCTCACCATCAAATACGTTCAAGATCTGACAAAAAACTGCTTCTGGATTGTTGCATCAATTGCTTTGCTAGTTCTGACGCTACCACCGCACACAGCAACAGAAGAACTGGTGGCAAAATCATTGCACTTCCATGTATTCAGCCTGACCACAGCACAGCCAGTCTCGTTACCTATGTGTCCGATATTCCCCAGCTGCCGGTTCGGGAGCCAGTCAGCCTTACTATCCTTTTTTTTTTTTTTTCTTTTTCTTTTTTTAATAGTAAATGTCAGTAATCAAAGCCTCAAGGCTTAATACATACGCAGACCAAGACAACAGGAAAATACTCCTGACCCCTCTTTTGCCCTTTAATACAAAGGCCAAGGACAAAGGAAAAGCTGCGTCCTGATCTTACCTCCAACACGACTCAATTCAAAGCAACTCTGAAAGCCTTCAGACCGATCAGCACTTGTTCACTCCTTCAGTAACAAGATGAAGGACACTGAAAAGTAACAGAGTTCTGTCCATTTTCCTTGGAAAAAACCATTATGGCTACAAGTCGATTTTGGATATATTTTTTTTTTCCTTTTTTTTTTTTAACAACGCAAGCTACTACAAATCCTCGAAGACCTGAAGCAATGCTGACAGCAGCACTGCCGCCTCCTTCCTATAGTACAATAATCCATCCATGCTCTCAAGAGTGACACAAGAACAAACACTTTATCCACAAATACCTGTACACGGCATGTCCAGAACAGCATTCAGCCAGCCTATAGAGAATCTACACAGGGAACTCGTTCATATGTAACTAGAAGGGGACACAAGATGAGGCCCAAATTTGACCATTCTTTCTTTGCAGAGTCATTCCTCCTGTGGTCCCCGACGCTACCACATACCCCAAAAAACAACAACTCTGTAGAACAACTAAGTACTTGCAAGAAACCTTTTAGTAACAAATCAGCATGTGCACACAATGGAAAAGAACTATTGCTGGGGGAACAATCCTATTTCAGGTTTTCAAGGAGATTATAAACAGTCTAAAAAAATCCATGTGTAAAATACTTCTTATAAAAACCAAACAAAATTCCTATCAATGCTCATTAGACTTCACGAATAAAGTCGGTTCCAGGACAGGACGATGCCACAGCCACGGGCGGGAGCACCGGGCGCTTCCAGCCAAGTTCAGGAACACCCTCCCAACACATGTTCCTGAACTGGCTGGGAGCAGCGGGACCATTCTGATCCTACCGTGAGAAGGGGGCAGAAGGGAGGTGGCACCTCCCGTCCCTCGTGGAGTAACTCTGGAGGCTACTGACAGCCCAGGAGAACTGCTGCCAGGATGGGCAACACGGACGCCGTGGCTGTGGGAGTAGGTTACCCAGGCGGAGAGAGGAGGCAAAAGACCTCAGGAGATCTCAGGCTGGCTACCACCGCTGCTCCTATTGCTTCGGGGACAGGACAACGTCACCAACCCCACCCTTCACGGGGGCAGCGGGCAGGAGGCTCTGCACACCCGGAGAGCCAAGTTTGGGGCTGTAACGACCACACAAGGCTTGCCTCCTCCACACCACAGACCCAAGAGAGACCATGAGCAGTTTGCACATACCCACCACACCTAACACAGCACACGGGCGAGTCTGTGACACTCGTGGACTGCGTCTGCTGTCCTCCACTGCGATGCATCCCACTGTCAACCAAGACAGGACTGCAGCTCCTCCTCTTCCTGCTGTCCTCCACCTTCTCAGTGTACATTTGCGCACAGGGTTTCTATCCAGGCTTGGCATTGTCCATCAAGAAAGAAAACAGCTGAGATCACTGTCGTGACAGGGTTTGCACCTGGCATGAGCTTGATTTTTTTTATATATATATACACACACAAGACACATGAAAGATGGTACAAAGACAAAATTAATGGGAATCGGGTCAACATGACCCAACTCAAACAAGCTTATCATCATATTGCCACTTAAGTTGATTAGTTGCAACATTTCCATGATAAAGAAAGGGGTAACCCAAAACAAGGGACTGCAATTTCATAATGGAGAGGGGACAGCAAACCCTGGCGTAACGCAACCCCCCAGCTCCCACACGGGGCTTTCACAGATACGGGGAGGTCCACTCACGAGCGGAGGGTTCCTCTGCACCGCTGCTCTCCTCCTCGCTGCCTGCAGCCCACTTAACATTTGGCAAAAGCTTACACACTGATTGGAAAAACAGAGCAATTCTTCAAA